TTACCTTCGTAGATTTATCCCCCAATAAACGTCCTACCTTCTCTGTCGCGGTTGATGAAATCAGCAATTGGTGCGGATATGACGCGGGAAGACCACGCCGATGTCTCGAACCAGCTGGTAAAGGCAGTTAACTAAATTGCCAATTGACTAAAGTATATTACTTTCTCCTGTCCTAGTTTTGTTTAATGTCTGCTTTCATCTCTCGCTTCTCATCAGTTTGCTGGCCTGTAGGTCTGACAGCTGTAATGCTGTCACCATTTCACCTCCGGTTATGGTTTAGATGAAGGACTTAAAACAGATATTCTGCAAGATTTGCACCTGTATCTGACTGCACCCGATTAAGTAACGTCACTAGGCTCACTTAGTCCTTAAACTTGTTTCCCATTTGACTACAAATGGTTAGCAGATGTATCGCGCAATGGTTTCACCATGCAGTCAACACATGCACGCATGTTGTAGATCTTACGCTGCTCAACCGCGAAGGGGCTCGGTTTCATAGTATTTTATATGTGACTTCTGGCATATCTGTGCTTTTTATCAAACATTAATTGATAAGCTTGACACAGTCTCCATAGCACTAAATTCCATGTTCGACTCCTTTTTTGACGCACCCGCTCGACTTCAGTTCTGTAAGATAATGAACACCCTCGTACTGTTAATGTGAATAGTTTTTCCATCATTTCACTATATGCTCTAGCTAATGGAAACTATCTGAGGTGCCCTGGGTTGCCCACTGACAAGCCATAGTTCTCGCAGCTGTCACACAGGGATAGAAACTAGGCAAACCATATGCCTGGCCATTTAAAAAACAATAGTATAGGCTGGGCACTGGAGATTTGTCAGTACTAATTTTCTGCTCTGAGTTATTCGCCGCTTTGCGACCCCGGACCGAGAGCTCGAAAACATAATTGGGATGACCGTTGTTCGCCCATAAGTTTTCTCCTATACTTGATTTTTTAGAGGCTTCCGGGAACTTTCATGCTTATATAGCTTGTAAACGAAATTAGGGTTTCTTGTTTGGATCAATGCAGTTTTCATAAGCTATACCGTGAGGGCACATAGTTTGAGCTGGATGACTCCCAGATTAGTTTGAAACTCCTCCTCCTACTAACATGAAGGGTAAACGAACTGTCAGTGAATTGTCCTAGACAAATTCGCGTTATGTCGGATGGTGATGACGCTAATCGAGAAGCTGACCTCATCTTCGAAACTATCTCTGTATTTGATTTGTGGGCAATCAAAATTATCAGGCTCCTGCGTATTGTGCGTAGCATCGTGTCCTTTCAAGGTTTTTTTTTTCCATGAAACTGGGACTGGTATGTCTCTGTGTAAGGTCACGGTCACCCATCTAGGGGAACTTTGGTTTAGCGCAAGAACTACGGCATATTGATGACCTTTATATTGAACAGTTCGTGCCTATGAACTTTTAATTGCATCTCGGACGCTGGATAATTAACATGTCATGCTCTTCTTTCTCTTACAGTATGCATGCTATGCTATCGGAAAAGACGTCCAAAGCATGAAGGCAGTGGTTGGCGAGGAGGCCCTCAGCCCCGAGGATCTTCTTTATCTTGAATTCTTGACGAAATTCGAAAAGAATTTTATTGCTCAAGGTATCTGTCTGCTTTTTTCTCACGTTCCTCAACAGCTTTGTTAGTTACCTTGATCAAACTATTTTGGCCCCACTTAAAACTGTGCCAAGCTTATGCCTTCAACATAGTTCCAGTCTCTGCTTCACTCTCACACAGTAGATACTTAAGGTTCGTACATGGATGTGTGGAATGGCACCCTGTGCCCCAAAATGGGTGACTTTGTTGCATAAATCTTAAAAAGAAGCCCTACGTGTTGCACACCAGAA